GAACTGAAGATTAAACTGGAGATTCTGCACAAAATACAAAATTAAAAAAAATTTTTGAAGAGTAAAACACCTACGAATAGCTCTGCTCCTTGATAATATGTAACCTTCTCAGGTCCTGTGTAGACTGGTTCTGGCACGATCACAGTGATTGCTAGAAAAAATCAACTGCAGCTTCTATGCGTCTTTGAAGAAAGGGACTTACCAACAGTGATGAGTAAAAACACGATGCCCACAAGAGCATCAGCACGAAGGAATAAAGCTATGTTTGCAACTTTGGAGAATAAAAATATGTTATTAATATAATGAAGCCAATTGGTAGCTTTCCGTCCCTTCCATGCAATAATCACGGCCAAAAACATGAGAATTTCTCGTTCCCGCTGAAAGTGACAAATCGTTAAATCAAAAAATTTCCTAGCGACTACTAACTTACTAATGATAAGTACCAAAACAATACAAATGTATATTAAAAGAATCAAAATGCTTTCACAAAAAGCAGCACCGAAGGCCGAAATGCAAGACTTACCGAGTCAATCGCACATTCTTCGCCAGCTTCAGTCACAAATATCCATGGACATATCTGGGGAATTCCCTTCGCACACAGAAAGGTGACAGAAAGGAGAGCATTGAGCAGGTGATAAGGTGTCAAAATCTGCTTCGCTTCTTTGAGACGAGGCCAAATCATCTGGAAAACACAAAGTGGGTCCAGGTAGTCACAAAAAAGACCAGAACTTCAGAAAAGACCATTTGATCTCAATCTTATTCAATAGCTGAAAGCGCAAGCGCATTGTTAGCTACACGCTATGACCAAAGTCATGGCCACATAATCCCGAAACCAAATAGAATAAAACTAGAAGTATCGAAAGCAAATTACAAAAAGAACATAAGAAGCTAACGCAAGCCTTGCCTATATAGCATGAAGAGGGATATATCATAAATAGCATAAGAAAAAGAAAGCTTGTTTCTTTACCTGATTATAGTTGATGTCAAAAGAAGCAGAAATAAAGCGCAGCTGCGCTGAGATGCTCCAACGATAATTTCGCGTATTTCTAGCGCAGTTTTGTTCGATTTGTCCACACTTTTCAATCACAACGCAATTTTGTTTTATTCCGCTTTTCCTTTTCGGAAGATCTTCTACTATTTTTGTTGTTCGTTCATTATCAGTCTTACAGCGCTGCAATGCGCCCTAATGAGGACATCCTTAATGAATTTTATGGGTTGGTGGAACTCAATGCACAAAAACGCTACGAAGCAGTTAGCCGACTATATATGAAAGTGGTAAGTGTAACTTTTGCCCTAATTTATTTTTACTAATCTTGTGATTCAGAAGTCGGACCCGTCTGTACAAGAATACTGTGTTGAACGACTTATCGCTGGACTGAGCTCAACTAGAGCGGCAGCTCGCTTCGGGTATGGCTTCTTTTTTGACGTGATATTTTTCGCTTTGTCCAACTTTTCATCCTATATGCTATCACTTTTTTCGATATACACTTTTAAAGATTCACACCGTATTTACAAACTTTCTGCTTGTTAAGCAAAGGCATTATTTCTCTTCCTTTTTTTCTTGTTTTCTGGTGGTTCTTTGATTTTTTGTATTGAAGTTTGCTGCTGGATTTGTCACTGATCGCGACATGCATCTTAAAGGCAGTGTCCGGGCAAAAACTCGATTTTGAG